AGTGTGCCCTGGCTGCCAAGAAGGCCAATGGCATCCTGTGATGCATTAGGAAGAGTGTGGCCAGTAGGGCGAGGGAGGTTCTCCTTCCCCTCTACACTGCCCTGGTGAGGCCTCATCTGGAGTACTGTGTCCAGTTCTGGGCTCCCTAGTTCAAGAAATATGAAGAGCTACTGGAGAGAGTCCAGCGAAGGGCTACAAGTTTGATGAGGGGACTGGAACATCTCCCCTACAAGGAAAGGCTGAGGGAGCTGGGCTTGTTCAGCCTGAAGAAGAGAAGGCTGCGAGGGGACCTAATAAATGCTTATAAATATCTCAAGGATGGATGTCAGGAGGATGTGGCCAGACTCTTTTCAGTAGAGCCCAGCAACAGGACAAGGGGCAATGGGCACAAACTAAAGCACAGGAAGTTCCGTCTGAACATGAGGAAGAACTTCTTCCCTCTGAGGGTGACGGAGCACTGGAACAGGCTGCCCAGGGAGGTGGTGGAGTCTCCTTCTCTGGAGATATTCAAGACCCGCCTGGACAAGGTCCTGTGCAGCCTGCTGTAGGTGACCCTGCTTTGGCAGGAGGGTTGGACTAGATGACCCACAGAGGTCCCTTCCAACCTCTACTATTCTGTGATTCTGTGAAAAGATTCAAATCGAATCTTCATGTAGAAATGAAAGGATAGGACTGCTGGCACATCTCTACATTCTTTTATATGATTCCTTTTTTTCCACCCCCCTTCCCATTTCACTATGTTAAAATTCCATCATCTGGAATCATATTCAAATCCACATCAGTCACCAACAGAGCTTAAATCTTTTAATCACCCACACTGTCATTTTGTGAAAAAACAGTTGGATGTCATGCTTTGTGGAGTAGCCCTTAGAAGGAAACAAGACACTTGGCTTGTGGCTTTCACAGATTTTTGTTGATAGCTGAGGAATGGCAAGATTTAAGGATCTTGGATTTCATTCCACACATAAAAGGGAATTACATTCTAGGACAAAGTTTCTCAATCTGCGGTCCGTAAAACCTCAGATGGTAGTCCAAAATAATCATTACAAAAAATGTATTTTTAAAAACATACATTCCCACACATGCAAGCAAGCAAATATAACTCAGGAAACACAAAAAAATAAAACAAACATTCAAAGTTTAGCCTAATTGAATTGCACTATAACGTATATGAAAATGTGACAACTTTTCACAAGATGATCCTTGCATTTTTTAAGGAAATTAAATGTTCTTGAAACAACATACTGTCCTTTAACATGTAAGTTTGACAATGCTTTCTTCAGTTCTACTGAAATTCCAGAGTAAGTGCCCTCTAGAAAATGCCGTGCTACATCCAATATGTTCCTCCCTTCACCGTACTTCCCTAAGCCATTACATGTTTTCTCCATGTCCCATAATGCTTTCTCTAGTTTCATTCTCTTTACAGACACCCCTTGAAGTCATCTATAGAAGCAATCCACACAGCCACTGAGCTCTTTCTGCCTATTTTCATAGACAAACTCTGCCTCAAGTCTTCTGGTTCACCCTGAATTTCAACTACCACTGTTCAAACCTCCTTTATTTCACTGGTTCAGCTGCAGGAGTTTCCCTTCTTAGAACACTCCTTTGGCTTGTCAATTTTTAAAAAAATTACAGACATCTGGTCCACACCCCATCTCTGCTCCCTGGTTTAAGACCCGTATATACCTACCCAGCACTAGTCTTTCACACTTCTCTTTTCAGGGCTAATTTCCCTTCCCAACGTTCACACATAAACATCCTTGCATCTTGTCCACAGTCAGCTGTGTATACATATTCTAAGTTGCTTTTTTTTAAGGCAGACAAACAGGCAACAATGTTAAATCTTAGTATCAAAACAGCTCTGCAAAGTCAGCCAACAAAGAACACGGGAGAAGTACTTGGAGCTCATACAGTATTAACAGCCTACCTGCGTCCTCTGCCTCAAAATCAGCACTTCTGCTCTCATATTTCCTGTATAACACTACCATTAAATTCATGAATGTTAAACAAAAAAATTAGTTTAAAAAAAACCCAGTTGATAACAAATCTCCACTAATGGCCACCTTTTTATGTGAAGTACATAACACCTAACTAGAAATCCCATTTGCATGTGTTGCTTCGATGCTGCATTCTTCACCAGTTTAAGAACCACAGGTTTTAAACTTTATTTTTGTGAAGATTATTATTAGTTACTTATCTTTAAAACTTCTTGTTTTAAAACAAGATACAACCTTTAAATTAAGCATGCTGATTAATACATACATATTTAACCTATTCATATGTATTACCAAATGCTGAATTGATTACTCCCTTTTTCAAAGACAATTCTTCTCACAAGTCTGATACGTGACAAACTGCATCTGGATGAAAACAGACTTTTTAAAAGCAACAAAAAAAGAATTTTAAACTCAACTGAAAGTACTTCGGTATGTTACATATGCAAAAATTGGAAAAACTCTTTTGCATTTAAAACTGAATTAATTATGTTATGTGTGGCTAGCAAGCTTAAAGACTGCATAACTGATTAGAAAAGAAAGATTTTAGAACTGATCTCCTGCTCTTTCCTGACAGTACTATTTGTACATTAGAAAGAAGAAACTGACTGACTTCTGTCTTCAGTTTCAAATGGATTTAAATTAAATTTGAACAAAGTAAAAACCAGATGGGACGTCTGAAAATAAGGATACTATTCACCTGATATCCACAAAAGACATGGTTGCTTCAACTGATTTTGACATGTTGACAAATTCAGTTTCCCAGTGTTTGGTAGCTGAAGGCTTTTGGTCTCCTGAGCACTGTGGCAGGACACATGTACCGTCTGATTGGTGGGCTGGGGTGCGTTCTTTTTGTTCTGGTTTGTTTTTTTTAATTTGAGAATACATTCGGCCTGCAGTAACAGTCACATTCATGATGAATTTTAAGTATTTTTCTTTAATTAGAAGTTAATTTTAATGTGTTTAAAACATAGTTTTGATACAGCTTTCTACACAGTCGCTTTATATGGCCTCTAGCATTATTTGGTCCTCGTTCTGAAGTACATGCAAGACTTCGTAGAAGCTCAGTTAAACAATTATCCACCACCATGCATAATCTGCTACATATTTTCAAATACCTTATGACACAGCAAGAATAAAACTGATACTCAGTTCTTGTTAGCAATTCAGGAAAACCATACAAAAATGTTTTGTTTGCTACTGAGATGAATATATACAAAAGCCATGTTTCCTTGGAATCTGGGCTTTTTTTGTGCTATATGAGATACAGATTTCCAGCTTCTCAGGAAAATTAAGTTTGCATACCAGCACAGAATATCCCTGGGACTTCACTCCGGAATATAACAGTTCGTACTTTCTTATCAGATTTCAAAGTATCCACAGCTTTTGACATCTATAGAGAAAAGGAGGAAGGGAAATAACCAAACACTTTTTAAAGTGCTTAATTCCAATACTTAACCTTTATACTAAAGACTATTCTTTCACTTACCATTTTTAAAAGATTTTTGTTAAGTGCATTCTTGGCATGAGATCTGTTTAATCCAAGCACCACAATTCCTGGAGGGGAAGAAAAATTATATCATTGTTACAATGTAGTAAAATACATGTTATCTATGTAAACTATTATTATTTTGAAATTATAGAAAAAGCATCATTGAGGATTGAAAAAAATGCTAGTGTAATTACTTAACTATGGAGTTATTGAAAGAAAATGAAATGACTTCCATTTTCCAATGTTCAACATTTCAATGTTCAACAGAAACGGCATTCATTTTGAGAACGAAAACACAGCCCTAACCTTCACATGGAAATAGTGCTTACAAAAGCTGAATGTATAATTACACAATTGCATGCACAAATTTCATGTTTGTGTGTGAAGTGCTGACATGCAATCAGGAAAGATACTTAATTGTAAAGCGTATGTTGCCATATTTAGACAGCCTACCTTCAGAGACTTCTTAAAGCAAGAAGTGCTGCCACAGCTCAGACTAGCAACTCTGATTCAGGTAAAGCAAGTCACAAACATAGAAAGAATGCTATCAAGGGGAAACCTGAGTTTTGTTTAAAAAGAAAAAAAATCATACAAAAATTCTCCTCCAAGACACAAAAACTGAGCTCAGTGCTTAGTACACAACTCCAGTCACACACCCACAGCTCCCTTAGTTCAGTTAGAGATCAGTTGTCTCACTGACTGATTACATGTGCGCTGGTTTGAACGTTGCAGCACAAACACCATTTGTCCTTATTTCACCCCCCGCACCTTAACAAGCATGATTCTCAAACAGAAAAATTCTGTAAAGGTTATCTTGCTAATGTCTAAGTTTATCAAGCCTACAGCAATCTTTCAGACCATTACTTCCTGAACACACTACATTTCCCTGAATTCTAAACACTAGCACAGAGTCCTGTTAAAATTGATCCAGCCCTGGTGAGGTGTTACCAATCGAGACTTTTTTTACCTGGAGAATGCAAGGGTAAGGGGAGAAAGACAGAGGACTAGGACAGGGACCAGGAATGACATACAAAAAGGGAGCTCTCTGTCTCAAACAAAAACACCCACAGTGTTGCTATCAATCTACAAACTGAAATAAGGAACTCCGGAAACTCAGTATGAGCCTGGGTTATTTACCACTTCACCACTAGGCTTTGCAGGTATAATCTATATGTAATCTGACTCTCGCAGCCTCCCCAGAGTGCCTGTCTTGTCATCTCAGTGCATACTACTCCTTTTACTTCAGGGAAACCTCTCCTCCCAAAGAACTGACCTTTCAGTGCTTGAGCCCACCCTCCTTCCTCCTGCATGTATGTGTACATGCACGCACACATGATGAGATTACAGATAGCTCCTGCTCCTCCTGCAGCTACCAGTTTGCAACCAAAGCCCTCCACTCGCCAGCTACCACTCACAAGATTCACATAAAAATGGTTAAACCCAAGTAATGGAGCATACATGCCTCTCACTTGCTCCCAGGGTACAATCAATTGTTATGTACAGATACATCCTAAAAGGAAAGAGAAGTCCGGCTGACCCAAATGACCTTCACTCCCTTGTTCTATAAGCCTAAATTCCCACCTGTTCATCCCCATGGGTGGAGGTACTCATCCAGGACCTCCTGCAAGGATCCTGGTTCAGCACTCACACAGGAATCTCTTTATGTTTTATTAGGCAAATCCAAGTAGCACTTCTGACTGTAGCACTTTCCTTATACTGTCACAACTTAATTCTTCAGGAGGATTACTCCAAACTCCAATACTCCACGTGTTCAACGCAAGTATATTAGGCAATAGCAGCACCACATGTTAAAGCAAGAAAAAGACACTTGACCTGGCTTTAATTTTAAACTCTGGGGCACACTGCAAACCCAATGTTTGAATAAACTAGAGATGCTATCATCCCAAATTGTTCTTCAGTTAGGTAATAAAACCCTTTTCAGAAGCACGGTTTTGGTCAATGGCAATGCTGCTTTTCAATTACACTTGTATTTTTCTTCTCCCCATTGGAGCCCACAGACTGTTGCTCCACCACCAATATTTGTGTATTCAGAAGGAAGTTCCAATTCATATTAAAGCCCGTTTAGTATTTTTTCCTACAAAGGGATGATCCTTGAAGACAAATCATACAAGCCGATTCCTCTTAGTGGTGTCATATCAAGTAATTAATCTACCACTTCTGTCTAAAATAAAAAAAGCCGATTCCTCTTAGTGGTGTCATATCAAGTAATTAATCTACCACTTCTGTCTCCCTCTTCAGAAAAGAAAGAAGCAAATACAGATGTAACTCTCACAGATGTTCTATTTCTCAAATCGGAAAAAAATATTAAGCGAGAACTGCAACAGGAAAGTTTTTTAAAATTACAGTAAGATTTGGGAAGTTTTCCCAATGTATTAACCTGCAACCAAACTACAGACAGATTAAGTACCTGCTCAAAGTCCCAAAACAGAAATTGAAAAACACACTTCCTGATTGTCAGCTGAGAATTTAATCCTTCTCCCTTCCCCAGCCCACCCTAAGAATCTCCTGGCAAAAACTGTTCAAGGTAAGTCTTTCCTGTTTTGTGCATTCACAAAATGCAAACACCAGGTCACATAGTTATATGAATTTCAGATGGGATAAATCTCCCTAACCAGAGCAAAAAGGAATAATCAGGCTTCATTTAACACTGCAGAGCCCCACCAACCCAATTCTAATGAAAAGAAAAAGAAAAAAACATGCAAAATGTTCAGACAATACTGTTATACAGGTAACCATTCTGACATATATTGTTAGTCATACAGAAAACCTGATTATTTATAAGTATCTTAAAATACCTGTTCCACTGTCATCTGAAGCATTTAATCATGGTTCGTTCTTCCCAAAACACCCACATACAGGTGTGCTTTCCAAAATCTTTTTTTTTATTATTTTAAAAATCTATTTGTAATAAACAAATAACTAAATAAAAAAGTCATCATCACATTCATCAGCAAATAACAGTAGAAATCATAACGGTGATAAAATTCCAGTATCTGCATGGTGTCAAAGAAATGGCAGGAATTCTAAGCAGGGAGAAGCATTCACATAAAGCTAAACTCAATATTAATTTCATAGTTCTTCCTGGGAGTCACCTCCACGTTATTTCAGAACACTTTTCAGCAAACAATGTGCATCTAATAAAATTACATCTATACAGTAAAAACTGACTTTCACCTTGTGAGCTAGGCTCTCCAAGGGATGTGGATGACTCCCAGTGCTGTCCAACATTAGCAGTCATAGCCCTGTGATGTAATCTGATCACTCGCCCAGCCAACCAACAGAGGATAAGCATATGCAAACATACAACATGCTCTCTGCTTACAAGCTACCTTTGTCAAAATAGAAAGCTGCCTGTGACATGTCTTAATGTTTAAGAGAAAGCTATATGTAATATAGCTATGATATGTAATATCATATATAATAACAACAAAAAAAGTCTTATAGTGAGATCAAGATACATACATGCAGATAGCTTAAAAATACCTGTAAAATCCCAGAAACATCCTAATTTCATAGTGTACATGACCTTCGGGATTTGCATGTAAGTAGTTCATATTGAAAGGTTCTTGTATTTTAAGAGTGATAGCAAAAATATGCGATGCTATCATTATTTAACTGAGAGAGAAGTTCATCTGAGAGAGAAGATCGTATTTCTTTCTATACTGTACAAAACCAACTGGTGCACCAATTTAAGTGCAGTGATCAGATCATGGTTTAACTACAGTTTCTATCGGTACACATGATCTCTTACTTTAAATAATGATTTTTATCTGGTTTATCTTGTACTTTTTAGTTTTCAAAAAAATATTCATCCTCAGTGTTTGGCAGAAACACATTTAAACGGCTACTTACAAATAAATCCTGTCTTTACATTTATATCTGTCATTTTGTCTGAGTTAGATTTACTACATCTGTATAAAAAGTACATATGGAAATACATTTATTTTTATTACATATACACACTCACACAAATGACCTATCCAAGTGTACTTTTTCCTAACTAAAAAAAGATCTAAACTATGCACTGAAAAATGGAGGGTGGATCAGAGAGCGCCAAGTTGTTTTTAAGCTTGTCTCACTTAATTACTCAGATAAACCAAGGCAGGAAAGTTGACTTTGATGTTTATTATTCTAGAATAGTTTCTTAAGCAAAACAAGAATCTACAGTGAGCTTTATCATGCACAATTCTGGTGGCTTCCATTGATCACCTTATCAAGAAGTATTTGAGTGCAAAATCATACACATGTGTACTAGGCCGTATATTTAACGACCACCAAAACACTTTTCAAAATCCTGTTTATCTCTAAACACCACTTAAAAATCTTTCCCGCACTTCTTAAATCAGTAGATCTCATCTGCTAAGCCGTCCTTTATTTAAAGAGAACAAAAGAAGGGACAGCTTTTCTGATTTATCCGCTAGCTATCAGTTTCCAACCTCTAAAGAAACAACTTCAGCTGTGACCATATTTGTTCTGCCCATTCTATATATGTCTAAATTCTAACCGAGGAGGACACAAAGCTGTCTTACATATGCTAACTGAACTAAAATCAGCTGGAAAATATAAGCACAGAGTCATTCTAGCATAAAATCTAGATTTTACAAATATTTGTATCACATTCCAACAAGTGACACTCCAACACATGAGTCAAGACTATAGAGATATTTATCCTTATTCCATTTATAGCGCAAAGAACAAAAGCTCCCAGCTCATTAAAATTTGTAGTGGGATTACTAATGCAACTTGGCTAAAAGTTTTTAAATGTCAATAGCTGTAATATATTTAAGCCCCAGTGATAATCAACTAGAATCTCAAATAAAGTAAAAGATACATATTTCATTAAAAAATACTAATGCACCGACATTCACCTCTACTCACAGAAAATCGATACTAAAGGCTTGCAACATGTTGTTCAGAATACACACGCACTTTACAATTAGATTCTTCAAAAATCTCACCTCTGTTGTATTCTAGGTTTGGTTCAAATCTGGAAGCTGGAAAGTCTTAAGATTTCAATAACTGGCCCTTTCAAATACAGTCTCATTTCAGTTCACATTTAACAGCTTCCCAAAAAAAACGTTGAAAACTAGTCCCATGCAAGTGTTACAAAGCAGGACAGTTTGCCGCTTGGCCTGCAGGGAAAGATATGTCCAGAGCTCCAAGACCCATGCCTCTGCGCAATGCAGTTACTCTCTGTCCTCCTGCCTCCCCAGCACCCTCAGCTGTAACAACCCCTGGACAATATAACCTTCTCCCAGCAGCATGGATAAGGGTGTAACCGCAGCACCAACGAGCACGCATGCGCCGTCAAAGGCAGTCAGAGAGACAGGGCCTGTCCCTGTGTGTAGCCAACAAGAATTTAATGTAAGAATATGATGAGGCAACGGCACGTGGGTCCCTCTTGGGAAGGTCTAGAGCATGAACTGGTGGAAAAAGGAAAGGCAGGTTAGAGAAAAGCAAGAAAGACCACGCACGGGGGCTTACGTGGAGTCAGCTTCCTAACGCAGCAGGGCTCCTAACGTGCTGTAAGCGGATAAAGACAGATGAACCTGACACACAAGGCTTGGAGGAGGGCATGCAGCAGCAGCACGGGGAGGAAGGAGAGACATGTTCCTTTCACAGAAACGTCGTCTGCTCTTTGCACTGCTGAAGGAGGCGTATGAAGCTTATGTCTCCCTTCCAGATTGCTACTAGACCATTGCTCCTAGCCTTTATTAACAAACAGCATCTGTTCCTATTGTCCTTCTGAAAGGCAAAGCCATAGAAAATCCCTTCTCCTGAAGAGAATTCCATGCATTAAAAGTACATTGACTGAATCCTTCCTTATGATAGCTGCAGCTGATTTAACAGTCCAAACACTATCTCCATGTTTGGGGGCATTTTTAATGCCACGTTTCATAAAGACATATTCTGAGAAGAAAAGAAAAAACAACTTCAAAAAAAATCTTTCAACAGGAAAAAGAAAAACAGACGGGCTATTGACATCCAAATCTTCAGCTATCGCTGCACCTTTTCTTCAAAAACCTCCTCCAATTCCCTGCACAATCAAACTTACAGTATCTGTATCAAAAACACACAGCAATGAACTTAGGATAGACACAAGGCACAAAACACCTTCATAACACTACAAAAGCAATGATTCCCAGCTGATTCAACAGCTGGAACACAGTACCTAAATCTCTTGCTCGCTGTCTAATAGCAGAAATAAAAATCCTGATCTCAGGTAGCACTCAAGTATTTTCTACCACTTGCTTGAAAAGCACAAAACTAACAAGCAAAAACATTCCTCCAACATTTTACAAACTCTTCTTTGCTCCTGCTTTGCCTCTTCCTCCACTTGAAACAACCTTAAAAAATCAAAATAGATGTTTAAAACTTCTTCCAAGTCCCAGTTGGTTGAGAAGACAGGACCACGGAAGTACGTCTTAAAGGAACTGGAAAGAGATGGGGAAAGAACAATCACTAAGAAATGGATTTCAGGATCAGATTACATCACCAACTTTACTGACCCTTAACAGTGGACAGAAAAACCTGCCGTCAGATGAAAACAGAACCTCGGTTTTCTTTTGCAAAAGGATCACCTTCTAAGCCTCGAGCTAAAATTCAAAGCTTTAAAGTTACCTCTCTGTGTACGTATACAAATCTGTATACATGCATACCCAACTCCTAGGCGTTTGCCTGAACATGCAGCAAATCCAAAGTGACCGAGTTAACACGCTGAAAGACATGTTGTGCATTCAACACACGGAAATTCCAAAACACGCCATCCATATAAAAGAGACTCATGCGCTGCAGATGAACAGGGCTCCGCATTACGGCCCTCTCCATAAAAGCAGGTACAACCCCACGGCTCTGAACGGAGAACGGAGCTCGCACTGTTTCTTCACCATCCCTAGCGCCGCAGCACCCACATGGGAAGGAAGGAAGTGACAAACACCAAAGGAGGTTAAACACCTCACCAAAGGAGGTTAAACACCTCCAAAGGAGGAACACCCCCAAAACCTGCCGAGCACCAAGCCAGCAGAGCTGCGATACACCGGCTCCTGACCCCTCTGGAGCACGCATTTTCCCTGCCTGACCAG